TGTAGGAAGTCATCAAACACCAACTGATTCCTGAATTGGCAGAAACAAGCCCGCTTTGAACTATTTTGTAAACAACGTGGCATGAATGCAGTCGACAGCAACGCTGGTCCGACTTGCGCGCCTTGGTTGCTTGCATAGCGCCCTCCGTTGAATTTCGCCACAGCACCAGTCGGGAACTAGGTCTTGACATGAGTTTGTAGGATCGACAGATTTCCCCTTCCGTGGGTTTCCTCTCAGTGAAATGCACTTTGTCCCAAGAAACCCACATCAAAGACTGTTACTTCATACCATGCGATTTCACGCCCTCATTGTGGTGTGTTGCCGCTTTGCACAGTGTTAGGGGGGAAAAAACCCAAGCTCTTTAACATTGGCTGAACCTTGTAAAATCACACCTCGAACGCCCCAGGCAAACTTCAATCGCGTTCTACGAGGCTGGGCAAACATAGACAATAATAGAAAACACTTCTTTGACAGATCAGAGAGTGTTGCACAACCTCTGAGTAGGTCAAAATATCAAATCTTAACAAGGGACGCGTGCTTCTAGGTTTTTTCCCCCTCTAAAACCTGACGAGGTTTCACCCTCTTCCGAGTTCTCCACTTTCAACCTGCCCCGAGCGGGTCCTAGTAGAGGTATGTCTCTGTCAACGGGTGATCGATGCAATTGTAACTGTTAGAAGGAAGCAGCATCAAAAGGCCACACGCTTGGAAAAATAAAAGTTATCAGTTTTTTTTCGTGTGGGTGGCAAGAATAAAAGCTGTTCGTAAAAGCACTTGTGGAGTTTTGAACATAATGGGATGATCAAGCAGGCATGCGTAATCGTGGTGTGTGAACACCGCGGTTGGTTAGAGGTGTGGGCAGAGGGGTAAATAGTCAGGAGCGGATCCTGAATGCATCAAGTGTTTTTGTTGAGAATTTCCCAGCCCCCGAAGTTGCGAGTGGGGAAGGTGGCAAGGCAGAACCCTTGGCAGAGAAGGGAAAAAATGATATGTGTTGGTTGGGGAAGGCGATCTACACTGATTTTGTTGTTCAAGGTGTCATGGAGATATAAAGGTGTACTAACAGGACAGGTTTGAGATAGTTGGTACACCCCGCGCAGCTCGCCGACTCCCCGTGGTGAAACAACAATAACCATCGCCGTTATCAAAACTTCTTCTTGTCCTCATATTTTTCCAAAAAACGAGTAGACCTTGTCAAGTTGTTTTGTTACACCATGCGAGAGGTGAAAGGTTTTGTGTACAATTTTCAGTCATTCAGCAATGATCCTCTGTTGCCGCAAAGTCGCATCGCCTCCGAAAAAATAAGCTGGGGGAAAAAAGTGCTGCAGAAAAGAATTTAATGATCACCTTGTCATTGTCAAAGAGAAGGGATGGTGTGATGGGAATGGATTGGAGGTGGACTCGGGGCGTGAGCGGGGGACAGGTACAATTGTTGTAATTATCCCTATGTTTGCCAGCCAGCCTATAGCTCCGGCTTCTGTCTTCTTTTCACAGCCGGAATTGTCGGCTTCTTCCCAGGATTGTCCCCCCCCCCCCACGCATCCCTTCATTGTCTGTTCGAGTGTTGGGAAGCATCTTCCAGGCTGTGAATGTCCTCACCCTAATACCACCCGACGGCAGAAAATATTATCGCGGTGAGTGGCGGTGTCATCACGTCATCAAAATGCCCACTCTTCCTGAAAAAAAATCCCTGCCAGTTTTCCCCCAGTCCCGTTCAATGCCGATTTCGGAGCGCTTCTTCCTTAGGTCGCACAAAAGTTAGTGATGCTGAAAAGTACTGTCTACTGAAACCTTGACGCAAGGAAGACGTATCAACATCTTTTAATAAGTCATCTGTTGGCAATCAGCCCCTGGAATGTCTTACAGTAGACAGCTATCAACATTTTAATGAAATAGGAAAAGGACGGCAAGCTGATTGTGTACAACGGAAGCGAGAAGTCACAAGGAGGGTCCAAAATGTTTCAGAAGAGTCTATAACTGATAAGATTGTGGCTTTAAAACCGCGTTGTTTGGCTAGATAGTGGTTTAATATCATTTGGGAAAAAGGTCAGAGTTTTTTTTCCGAAATGTAAAGTTGGCCAAGAGCCACTCTTGATGTCTCAGACTAATCAAAATTTGTCTTGATTTCCAACACGGTCCATTTTTTTTGTATATGAATAATTATAAATAAAGAAGTAACATCTGTTTTCCGTAAGTTGTAAAATGTAACTTAAAGTTAACAGAAAGACGGTTCCAGTGCGCTTTGCTTTTGTAAAATGTAAATTAAAAGTTACAGCGAGACAGTTTCAGGACGTTTACTTTTCGGCAGGCTGATATTTGTTAAACTCTTTGTGTATGCAGAGTCAACATGTAGTTCGCAACCAATTGGTAGGTAAATGGGCTATTTGTGAGTACGTGGTGGGTGGTTTGGACTGATTATTCAAACTAGTCTCAATTCCTTTTTTTTCAGACCAATTCTTCTTCCACTGAACCTATATACCCAAGTCATCGCCTACCAAATGCTTACACAGTTATCATGATAGAGAAGGTAATTAATAAACGGAAAATGATGCAAACAATTATTTCGTTGTAGTTAAAAACAATGTGTTCAATAAAGCAAAATTACAAAATGTTAAAAAAAGAAAGAAAACGATTTTTTGGCCAAAAAAAGTTCCCTAAGGCCAAAAAAAAAAAGTCTCCGGTTTCTGGTATGGAGCTTGCCCCAAAAGTGGTGCGGCGACGCGGCTTTTTTTTTTTTTTTTACATGTTTTTTTTTTTTTTTGGCTTCAAATGTCGGCTGATGACTGCAAATGGTGCCCGACTAAACTTAGTGCAAATATATGGGAGTCCAGAGAGGCCACATAAAGCTTATTCTCGATCATAACCCCATCTAAAAACACGTTAAAATTGTGCAGCAGCAGGATTCCAGTCAAACCAGTGAGTTTGGCGGTTTTGAGACATCATCTTGTATTGAATAAAAAAACTGTTTCATTTTGCCGACGCGCATGGCTACGGCGACGCGCGCGCATACCAGAAACCGGAGACTTTTTTTTTTTGACCTAAGAACGTTTAAGGTAACAAATTGTATTCATCAAATAAGTCCTTACTTAAAGTCAAACAAACGTCTGGAATATACAAACTCACAAGTTTTTTAAAAATGCAAAAATAATTCACATGAAGGATTTTAAGCGGAGAAACAAATTTCCAAGAAATTAATATTTTTTATAAGTACATGATGCAGACGCATACACCTGTCACAAGCAGAGTAATTAACTTGGCTAATCGAATTATCAAAAGGAAGTCATTTCCCCACCGCTTGTTTTCCTCAAGGTGCCACATTATTTGGGTAACCTCTCGGAAACATGTCAAATGTCTAGCAGCGGATACCGCACCATTTCGACCAATTTGCAGCGGTATCATCCCTGCGCCATGGTTTGCGCGCCAATTGATTGTACGTGCCGCCGGGTAAAGGGCTATTTTACCTTGAAGGGGCGGGCAAGTGCCCCAAGCTTGCATATAAGGCCTATACACCCCACCCCGGTTAATGAATGCACAAGGATATAAGCTATTACAAGTCTCTGACGTTTCGTTATACACTCAAACTATAAGTAATTTCTATTCTCGTTTGAGCACTATATTAGTTGTTTTGAATTTTTTTTTTTTGAGCAGCAAGTTTACTGCACTTTCTTATTGAGAAAAATCTTCAAATGACCCACAAAGGCAAAAATCAGTACGGAAGGTCTTGAACATAATTCCCCGGATCATTTTTATTCAACTAGTAAAAATGACATGGTATTTTTTTTTCAATCGTGTCAGTGACAATGTTTTACTCTCATAACGGCTGGACACTCATTGGACACAGCTTTGACTTGAGACCCACAGCTTTATCAAGACTTCGCATCTACCTAACTATATCTAACTGACCCAACCAGTGAGGTGTTTGATACGTCATAGTGATCATATGTATAGTGACTGTATCTTAAAATTAATACGAGAGCCACAAGTGTTAACGACGTTTCAGTCACTACCAGCTCTGACCGTCATCTGGAGAATTGTCTAGGTGAACAGCTAACAAAACCAGTTCAAGTTTTAGGCAGTTCCTTCGAAGTGTGTATCCACACACACAAACCTTCCTACACTCTCAACCATACAAAGCCCCCAGTCCCATTTATCTTAACTCATCCGAACTTTACCGATAACCCTTTAAAGTGTAATGTCACCCCCTAAAAGCATCATTTGACCGGGTGAATGCCAGCAGCAGTCCTTCGCCTCAACTCTGCGTATTGTTGCAGTGGTTCACGGAACTGCCACGAAAAGTTCAACTTGTTGAACCTACAGACGTGCCTGGCTTAAGGTTCCCTCCATCTGTCATTTCTCGTTTTGTCCCAGTCCTCTTTGTTCGGGACAAAACATCAAAAAGACAGGAAAGTACGCTTGGCATTTAGTGACAGGTACGCGCCGACTGAAATGGAGCAATAAATCTACAAGCCCAGCGAAAATATTGATATGGTCTTGCAACTAAAAATATGTCCAGAAATCCCATGTGGCAAATAATTCATATTGAGTGTTGACACATCTGAGTTCCGTAATCATGTGTGTACTATTGGTGCCAGAAAATATATGGCTTCAACCGAGCTGAAGTGCAAGTGGAATTAAAACATATCTTTGTGAGGGAAGGCGCGGTGTGAAGACAAATATAGGATATAGGCCTACACTGGTTGATGCCTCAATTCAGATTTCAGTATTTTTTGTTTACCTTTCCCAATGAATCACTTCTATGAAATAATGAACAGTACACATAGGACACGTTAAATAATTAGGGCTTTCGAAATACCAAGTTTCGTTGTGACTAACCAAACTTAACCTAATGTAACCTCAGGAACAATAAACTGCTAATGGTATAAATTGAGTCAATTGTGTATAGATAAATATACATGTATAATGACAATATGTACACAAACGTACTTCTGAGGATGACAATATTCTATCAAAAACAACTGTAACAGAAACTAAGTTCGACGTACCTTTTTGGCTGATGCTGCAGCAGAAAAGACCAAACAGGCAGCTATGACAAGCAGCACGACGCGAAAACTCCCCTGCCTCATTGTGCAATGTTACTCCGCTCTGCAATGTGCGAAGGGATAAAAACAGACTTGCTGTCAAGTCAAAAAATCAAGTTCTCCCTCAACACCAATCTTGAGGGGTTTGGTGTGCTTCCTAAAGCTGCCGCTATCTGCCTGGCCAGTTGTATGATTTCATTAATTAGGCCCTACTCCACTGAGACCAAGGACGTATGCTCGTCTTCACTTGACGGGCAAAAAATGATGTACAGATTTAGCCACACGCAAGTTTACGCGCCACAAGATAGGCCTACTAGTTTTACTTCGGACGCGAAGTTCTCCCACACAAATGAAGCTCCTGTTCACAATTATTTCACACAAAGAAGTTAAGACTGTAGGTCCAGGTTGGTATTCGCTATAACATTGTCTCCATCAAGAAATGTTAAGCTTCAGTGTAGAGTATCTAAAGTTCCACCAGCGCACGATAGTAGTTACGAGATGGACGATTACTGGCGAGTCACAGATGCCTGTTACAAGTTCGCTGTCAAAACGTGTGCGTGCTCCAGCTGCAAATTTACATCTGTGTTAGAAGGGGCGGCACAGAGCAGTCATATACTAAGAGCAGTGCGCCGTCAGTCAGTGCAGTGTGCACACATGTGATTAGTCAGCCGGTTGGTGCCCAGTGATTTCTGTCCTCCTATCCTGTCTGGCATTGCAGTGGGCTATGCTTGCTTGTGTGCCTTATACAAGTTGAACACTGTTGCCGCTATATCACTCGATCTACTCATCCGTGACTCACAACAAAACGCCCCGCGCAGCGTGACAAAAGTTCGGCCCAGCTACTCACGGACGGACACACCGTAATAAGTAATCATGAGCGGTTCAGGCCAAAGCAAGAGGGTTATTTTTTTTCAGGAAAAGGGGAAAAAAGAAATATGGATATCTTTTGTGGGTTTTCCCCCCATAGATCTTTGGAGTATTAATACTACTTCTTTGTTGAAAGTCGTCAGTGAGTCTTGGTGGGTATTGTTGTTGATTTTATGTGCCGTGAAAATTGTAACAAAGCTTACATTTGAATGTTTGCTCTGTACACAGTGGTTGACGCATTCGAACATTCACCAAAAATGACGGGGATTTTAAACGTGACAATGGATGCATTGAGTGAGCGATGTTCACGTAAAGGCATAAAAAAGTGCTGTCCCGTAAATAGTCCATACACATCCGCCGAAGTAGTGTCGCCACTGAAACCGGATTACCATGAAATTTTAATGAGTCTCATTAATAGTAATTTTGTCATTACTAATGAGAGTCGATAGTAAATCGCCAGGAATGATTCTTTGCCTATCGATTGACTTAATCCTTATTGGATGCTTCTTTCGAGTACCCGTGACATAACGATCCATTCGGGGCTAATGATTGGTCGATGGCCATCAATGGCGGGTAGAATAAACACTTGTCAATATTTAATGTTCGCGTGAAGGTGCTGCATTCCTTCGGCTGTCAATAAGTCGATAGTAGACTAATCCCTTATGGCTCTACCACATCATTCATCATATTATCATTGGCTTGACGGGATGGATATTGGTGAAGTTTTGGTAGGTCAACATTGGTAATCAAGACAATATTCTGCACATTATGCGACCTGCCTTGGGCCCTCCGTCCTTGTCCCCAGATCGGCAAATTCACACGTTCACTTGGAAAGGAAATTAACGTATACACTCTATCAAATTAATTGAATTAATTGAATTAATTCGATTGATACATTCTGAGGCCAAGGCCAAGGAAATTTGTTGTTATCACATGGGGAATATGCTACAAATTAAGTCCCGTGATACAAAATTGTAGCAGCCACTTCCAGAAATATGTGCTGGTGAATAAATGTAAAATTTAGTCTGCATGTTAGCATTGACGAGTGTTCCGTTGTATAGGCCTAAATGTTCAGAAATTGATGTTACATTTTTTTTTAAAAGACGTCCAAAGGTTCGTGTGCTGACAAGAACCGCAAGCATAAGCTACGGCCCAAACCTTGCTCACAAATTTCAAAAGCCGGGACGAATTTGTGTTGTTTCACCTTTCGCTCAGTATATAACATTATACGTTATATTGATACAGCCGACTGTATGGCCCCTTAATCCCAAGCTTATCGATTACCAGCAATCCGGATATCCTCTGATCACTGACTGAGCCTTGCAAATACATCATACCAAACAATCCCATCCACCACGAACGGTTACGCATGTGCGTTCCCTAATTGGGTACTTCTCTGGATTAGCTACACTGTCATCTTGTTGCTCATTTTTTGTAAGACTGCTAAGTCCTTTATTGTGGAGATGACATTGGGTTAAAGGCTTACTCCTAATTACTGGCCTATCAAGAGTTTCTTAGCTAATTAATTTGACATGGTCGGCATTTTGTTGTCGCTTTGAGTGACGGGAGTGCGATGGACGTTGAAGATCACAGGTGGATCAGCTCGTCCTCAGATGGAACTAAGCAATTACTGAGCTTTAAATTGGGTATTAGTAGAAATGTCATGCTCACCTTGGACCTTAGGAATCTATCGTGAAATTAATTCGAAAACAAAGGTAAAGTGTTGGAATGCTGCATTGTTTTTCGGCTTTGAAGTATTTGTCCAAGTAGTTTTCCTCTAGGGCAAAAACTAAGGACCTTCCGTTTCAACAACCAATTATGAGGCTTCCAGAATAGCTTTATGCGGGAAAACTGATTTTATTGCAGGACGGTGGAATAAATGCGGGGAAATTTTCATTGTCCGTTTTCGAAGGTCTGCGGTTCGTCATTTGTCACAAATACGTTTGTCGCTCGAGGGTAGGAGAGGCCTTCGCACGCTGGAAGCAACGCCCCAAGATCCAGGGAAAGATAATGCCGCAACTCAAAATTAGTCATGTTATATTACCGGAAATAATTGAAGTTTGTTACGGACTCCCAACGATCTGCGCTAGATCGCTGCACTGTGGAGAAGAGGGCACTCGCACATCTCGCACAAGATTCACGAGGGGGTCAAATAATTAGCAAATAGATTTCGGAAGTTTGTTTATCTGAGATAACCGAGTATTGGTCCTCGGAGGACTGAATCGGTCACGGAAGGGTATGGGCTCCAGTGCCATCAAAGTACCGAAGCCTTTATGTTTTGATGCAGTTGGGATTTCTGGGAAATCTGAAACCTTCGACAAATTCGTGCATGAACAACTTAATTGCGATCTGTTGTATTTGCATAAGTTTCTATACACTCGTTTGTACGGTCATTTGGGACAGGCCGTATAGTAGTTGATATTGAGATACCGTTTGAAGAAACTGCAATTTTCAGCATTAATTTTCCCACCAAGAATTCGTGTGGCTTTAATTTAGGCATTGTTTTTTGGGGGGAAAGTTATTGAAAGAAAGAATGAAAAAATATATGAATTTGAAGAAATCACTGTGTCGTGTTAATCAAAACGAAAGTAGATCTAGATAACGCAAAGAAAAAAACCTTAGAAACGCTGTAAGGTGGTCATTTTTTCCATATCTTGAAATGGATTTCCCACACAGGATATTTTGAATTATTATCTTGTCACGCAAAACAGCTCTTGGGAGTGACTTCTTTGGCAGCTGTCAGCCTTTGTGGTTAACCGCTGGTGGCCCGAGACTAATCCAGAGCAACACAATCACCGATTAAGTGATTATCATCGTTAATATTAGATTACCCGGAATCTTTACGGACAAACTAGATGTTGGAGTTAAATGTATAAATGAACCCGAGACATACGATATTGGTTCATTTATTCTCTTTATTCGTGCTATTCCTGAGTTTGCAGATCAGATCTTCTTGTATAATGGATTGGTAGAAAAACCCGAAAGAACAAAGGAGGAACGTCTGTTAACGTTCATCATAAACGCACCTTACTAAAAATATCGTTTTGATTCTCACAAAACAGCAGAGGTATGTATGAACTGGAGCTTTTGATTATACTTCGCAAGAATGATGTTTTGCATCAGGAACAAGTTACTGTTCCACAACGATCGTGAAATTTGAAGTTGGTAGTAGATTTCCAAAGGATTATCGTTGGATTTGGTATAAGAAGGGAACATTAATCTCTATTTTGGTTATTTCGTTCTCTCATCATCAACTTAGAATCAGTTAGTCTTGATTGTGAGTATAATTTGAATCCCGATTGATTTATGTGAAGAGGTGATGTCAATTGACATGCCAACGAGTTGTTAATGGGCTACCTTGAATGCATGGCAACAAGAGAGAAAAAAATGGGCCACAAAACCCTCATGAAATTCACAATGCAAAGTGGAGCGGCTGTCGACTTTTGATCCATTTTTTCTGCTGTTCCCAGCTGCAAAGAAGGAAAAAAGGACATCGTGCCTTGGGACAAGAAAGACTGCAGCTGCAACACTAACGCTCCCATTTTCACAAAACGTGTTACATGTAATAAGATTTGCAACATTCACGAAGCCGACTCTTATCCGACAAAGAACTGTTATTCTTGCGGAGCTCATTAGTCATATTTTCTCACTGCCAATCAAACCCCCCAAAAACCCTTCCCTCAATCGTTTTTTTTAATAGGTACTGGCTTTCTGCTACAGCTAATTAGAGACCCAGTTTCAAGGCCTTATACTTATAGTTGGACAAGGGCGTGGCTTCAGGGGGTTGGTTAAGGCGGTCGTGGTAAACCCTCCAAAGTATTGAAAATCGATGGACAGGTTTGTTGGTGGTACAAGATGAAATGAGCATTCGCGACTACACTAGCCTGGGAAACAAATTCAAGAAAAATAGCTATGGGTTATCACTTTTAGAATAATAATGCAACTTTTGTGGGGTTTAGTCCGTACTAGAGAGCATCAACCTCCTTTGATTGTTCGCTTGAAAAAAAGTAGTACGTGCTTTGGGAGTAAAGTTAGGGATTTGGTTTGTATATTTTTGCCGGTAAGGGTGGTTGTGGAGCTCTGTTCAGGTTGAACTATATCCTTGGAGTGTGGCACCAGTCCCGAAATGGCGCCTTGGGGAAACATTTGTTCAGCGTTTTCTCTGCGGATTTAGTTGTCATTAAGGCCGGGGAGGAT